AAGCTTGAAATGTTGAGTCACACAGACATGGATTCAAATTCCCTGTTGCCTCTTACCAGCTCCGTGAACTAAGAGGCTAAGTCACATCCCTTAGCCTCTTTCATCTTTATTGACCATAATGCCATACTATAAAGATGAGATTATGTATAACAACCATCAGGTGCTCTGTACATGTCACTTCTTTTCTCTGCCTTTAGTTATTTTCTATGTTAAAAGAAACACAATAGATTGAATTTAACAGAGTTCAACTGAGCAAACCACGATCTGAGAAATGGGCAGCCATAAGAGCTAGAATAACTTCAGCGTGACTCTGGGGCTGCTACACCAGCAGATAATATACATGGACAGAAAAAGGAAAATGATGATCAGAAACTGGAAGTGAGGTGCAGGAAAGGTGGATTGGTTACAGGTTGGCATTTGCCTTATTTGAACAGTTTGAACAGTTGGCTGCCTATGATTGGTGCAAGAGTAGTTTGTAGTCTGTTTACACATATAGTTCTGTTACAGTTCATTGCCTACAGAGAAACCGTTCTGTCGACCTTAAAATGTGGAAGGAGGCAGCGTTAGGCTAAATTCCATTTAGCAGCCTATATTTCCAAATAGTTTACTAGCAGTCCTGGTGTGTGGGGAAAGGGTGACTCTTGCAGATACTGCCATTGTTTAGCATGTGGGACTTAGCATTAAACTGGATGGTGGTGTGGGCCAGAGTTGGGGAGGAAGCATATATAGCCAGTTACTCACGTACCCCATCTACATGCCGGATTTCTGCTAGTGGGGTTAATAGGTATAGGCCAGAGTTTTTCCGCAGTATATAAACATTTTACTAAGGAAAGGAGAAAATATTATTTTAAAAGTAGGAGAAACTTTCAGGTGATTGCCATAGGGTAATCCATGGTAGGGTTCTTCCAGGGAAGAGAATTGCTTTTGGGTTAAGATCACACATTGATGAATAACAAGAGGTGAAGCTGCCCCCTGCTGGATGTGAGGGGAAAAGACGGCTGGGGGGCCGGACTCCCAATAGGCAGAGTGGGCCTGGATCCTGTCAGTTGGAACACTGAGTAGGAATTGAGAATTCAGTCAGAGCAGGAAGTCAGAGTGACAGTGGACTTAAAATCACCCTCCTATGCCAGTTAATTCTTAGAAAGGTGGGGCAAGTGCTAGATTTTCTGTCATTTATGATGATCCTAGCCATTTGGGAAAAGATGACTCCACAGGCTGGAAGGATTGAGTATGTCTGTGTTGCTTGTGAGAAGTAGCAGGCACCTGAGGAAATTACTAATTCAGGGTAGTCCTGACACATTTTGTTTCATTATCTCCCACTGGAGGAGAAACTTAAGGTGAATCGTGACATGTGTAGCATTGGGGTAGGGGCTTGGTAGATATTAAGGGTCTTTACAAAGACTTAGATCCTGTGAAACAGCTGTAGTTTCTGTTCTTTTCTTTCTCTCTCTTTCTTTTCTTTCTTTCTTTCTTTCTTTCTTTCTTTCTTTCTTTCTTTCTTTCTTTCTTTCT